CCTGCCTGTACCCTCGGTCGCTTCCCCTGACTCGTCTCTGCACCTGTCTCTTTGTCTCTTTAGGGGAACTGTGTGCTCTCCTCTCTGCTGTCTCTGCTCTCCCAGTCTCCATCCCTGTCTCGTAAACACACACACACTGTCCAGGGCCCCGCCCACGGCCCTGGGTGAGGCCTCTCCGCAGGGGCTGTGAGGATCCCACATGGTGCTGGAGCCCACATCTTGGGGGTTGTTCCCACCGTTCTGGCTGCCTGTTGCAGCTGAGCAGGAAGCTGAGGCTCAGAGAGGGAGAGGCTGCTGCCCAAGGTCACGCAGTCACTGCAGGGAGAGCAGAACTGGAACCCAGGCCCGGCCCCAGCTGGTAGCCCGTCCAGCCACTCTGCCCTGGATAGCTTGGGCAGGCTTAGAGACCCCTTCTTTCCCCACAAACCTGGAGGGCACAAAGTGGGGCACGCCCCATTCTGACTTCCCGGACCCAGAACCCAACCAGACAGGGAAGGAGCCCGAGTCCGCCATGCCAGGGCCCTGACGCCTGATGTTGGCCCCCTCCAGGCCCTGCTGCTGGTGGCGGCCTTGGCAGGCCTGGGCTTGGGCCTGAGCCTCATCTTCATCGCTGTCTACCTCATCCGCTTCTGCTGCTGCCGACCCCCAGAGCCCCCCGGGGCCAAGAGCCCCCCACCCGGGGGAGGTTGTGTCACCTGGAGCTGCATCGCTGCCCTCCTCGTCGGCTGGTAACGGGGCCCCAGGGTGGGTGGGAGTGGACACAGGGCTCCCCCCAGCTCTGTCAGCCTGCCTGGGCGGCCTGGGCTGTGGGTGCCGGCGGACAGGGAGGAGAGACTCCCTTCCCTGACCCCGCCATAGACGCCCACCTCAGCGGCCCCGCAGACAGTTGCTCCCGTTTGATGGACTGAGAAACCGAGGCTCCGAAGGGCAGGCCCTGCGTGGGGGTGGGGAGATTGCTGGGCGGCAGCGGTCAGACCACCTGCTCTGGCAGTTCTCCCGCTGGGTAGCCGCGTGACCAGGGAGGTGACATAATCTCTCTGAGCCTCTGCTTCCACACCCATGAGGTGGGCACCATGGTGCCAGGCACCTCCTGGCCGTGGTTGATGACACGAGAGAGCATGCAGGTGGCTGGCTCGTGTGAGCGGGCTCCTGCACCCGCCAGCCCACACCGGTCCCCACTGTGCTCCAGACACGGCCGCACAGCGGCTCAGCCCTGATCCGGGCCAGCTGTTCCTGCCCAAACCTGAGCTGCCCTAATTCCTTCTCACCACTTCACTGGGCTCCGTGGTCACGCCCACCGGGAGACCAGGGGGGGCTTGGGAAGAGAGGAGGCCACTTTCCAGGGCCACGCCGCTTCCGTGGCAGAACATGGGGGCTCTGTGAACACGCTGTCACGGCCGTCCCCTGCCAGGTCAAGGACAGCGGCCTAGTGCAGGGTCAGAGGACTGGGAGGTTGCTCTGGGAGGGCTCAGGGCTCCTACTGCCTGCTGGGGAGTGGCGAGGCAGCTCTGGCCACACTCCCAGTGAAGAAGCAGTACAGAGGCTGTGGGGGGCTGAGTGCCATCTCCAAGAGGCTTCCTCATGGGGCTGTCCAGCGTGGGGGTGGGCCGAGGTGGACAAAGGCCCAGCGGGGGAGAGACAGGGCCCCCGGCCCCAGGCCCAGAACAAGAGGAGCTTTGTCCGGCTCTGAACTGCGAGGCGGGGGCACTGGGCGTCCATCCGAGGGACAGGGGCGGGGGCGCAGAGCCTGGGCTGGGAACCGCGAGGGCGTCTGGCTCCCACCCCCTCCACTGCGGGACACCATGGGGGAGGAGGGCCAGCATCCAGGCCCACAATGGAGCTCTGTGTCAGCTGCGGGGCAGCTTCTGGCCCACCCTCAGCCCTCCCTCCCACATTCCCCTGGTCCCCGCCCAGCTGGCCAGACAACGGGGTGGGCTGCTGGGGTGTCTGCTGGGAGCCCCAGGCTTAGCATCCGCCAGGGTATGGAGGTGGCTGGGCCCCAGGGCAGGTGCTGAGGGCCCTAAGAACTCCCAGGACAGGAGAGGTGCTGCTTGGCAAGGGTGTGGGACAGGCTGGGACAGACCCATGGGGGGGTGCTTTGTCTAGGGCTGGGTGTGGATGGGGCTTCATCCGCTCTGGGGTGCTGCGAGTTAAGTCTGGGCGCCCCCTCCCTCTGCCACTCCACCCACCATTAGCATCACAATGACGTCCCTCCAGCTGGGGGAGTGAGGCCTTCCTGTTACCTTGGCAACCAGAGGGGGCCAAGCTGGAGACTCCTTTTCCCACGGTGGGCTGGACCAGTGGGGCGGGGGTGCAGAGGAGATGCGTGGATGAGGAGGTGGGGAGGGGGCAATGGTGAGCCCCAGGGTCCTGGGACCGGCTGAGATTTCCCCTCCCTTCTCCTCTCAGCTCTGGAGTTGGCATCGGTTTCTATGGCAACAGTGAGACCAGCGATGGGGTGTCCCAGCTCAGCTCTGCACTGCTGCATGCCAACCACACGCTCAGTGCCATCGACCACCTGGTGAGGGGCCGGGGATCGTAGACCCCAGGCCCACACCTGGATTGTCCTTACACTCGGGGCAGGGGAGCCAAGCTCAGAACCAAGACCCCAGACTCAGACCTGCAGACCTTGGACCCGGCCCAACCTCAGAGTCTGTCTGCAAATCGAGGCCTCACACTGGGACCCCCCAGACCTTGAGCCAGATCTCTAACTCGAGGCCCAAACCTGGACCCCAGGCTGACGCCCAGCCCCAGCCCTGGATTTCGAGTTGTATCCCAAACCAGAGGCCACACTCGGGCCCCAGCCTCTCCCTCGGTCGGACTGGGGCTCTAGCCCTGACACCCAGGACTGGGTGCAAGGCCCATCTCCAGCCCCCAGGCCCAGCACCCTGGCCTGACCCCAGACCTTCCATTCCACGGGCAGCTGCACACCTGACTACGGTGCTCAGGTCTGAGGCGCCCTAGACCCAAAGGCAGATGCAGGCTTCCTCCTCGGCCCAGGACTTGGCTCCAGGCCTGAGATGATCTGTCCCTGGGGCTCCACGAACGGGATCCCAGAGCCCCTCCCAGGCCCCTTTTCCTCAGTCCTCATAGGCCCCAGACCTCCCAGGGGTGACCCTCCCTGTCCTCAGGTGCTGGAGACGGTGGAGAGGCTGGGCGAGGCCGTGAGCACGGAGCTGACCACGCTGGAGGAGGTGCTGGCCCAGCGCACAGAGCTGGTTGCTGCCACGCGGGGGGCGCGGCGGCAGGCAGAGGCCGTGGCCCAACAGGTGCAGGGGCTGGCCTTCTGGCAGGGAGTGCCCCTGAGCCCCCTGCAGGTGGCTGAAGACGTGTCCTTCATAGAGGAGTACAGGTGAGAGGTGGCCCGTCCTGCCGTGCACAAGGCTCCTCGGCTCGGTCCCAGAGTGGCTGGGGACATTGTGGCGTGTGGTGGCTTGGGTGTGTGCTCTATTGGCACCTAGTGGAGCCCAGGGATAGTGTAGGGATGGCTCTTTTGGACAAAGAATGCTCCAGCCTCAAGTACTGCTGAGGCAGAGGTGGGTAAACCCTGCTGTGGAGATGGGTCAGGTGACCTGTGCCCATCCTCACACCCGTCCACCGCCCACCCTGTCGGTCAGAACTTCATTCATTGGTCCGGTGACTCGCCCACTCAGCAAGTCGCTCTGGTGCTGAACACCGGACCAGCCCAGGAACTGGCTCGTGACACTGCTCAGCAAACACCTATCGAGCACCTTCTGGTGAAAGTGGGCGTCCCACGTGGGCGGGCCCTGAGCCTGAAGCCACTCCTAACCAGGCAGGCTTGAACAAATACTTGCCGACCCCTTGCCTCGGTGTCCCCAGCTGCTCCCTCACTGGGTGGCTGGAATCAGAGGGGACGGCATCTGCATCTGCTGAGTGCTCAGAACGGCAGCCAACGCACCGGGAGCTTCCG